CAAAACAGCCCCAAAACAGCTCCGTTTTCATGTGCCGCGGGCTGATTTCTGGAATCTGCCTCCGCTCACCAAAACGTCAGCCATCTCAGCCCCTTGGAACCCCACGGGTGGCACAGGGCTAGATGGGGCTTCGGTATAGTACCGGGCGTTGAACACTCCTTCGCAAGTTCGCACGTTGCCTTGACGGGAACTTGTTGTCACGCCCGGGACTCGGTGAGCAGCTGTTTGTGGGCTTGCAGCTGTTTGTTCAACCTTCTAAAGCCCTTGTTTTCCCCCTCTCCCTCTTTTCTCTTGTGCACGCAAGGTGCTCGCTGAATTGCTTGTAAAGCTTCCCCTTTTCACGAGACTTCGGGACTTGTCCGTTGCTCGTTCTTTCGAACCAATCAACTTTCTCTTTTACAGGTCCTTCGGGACCTGCGAGAGGTTACAAATGGGCTGATCTTTGCGGAACAATATCGCAAGGGCGAAGCGCGACTTAGGCAACGCAAGCTAAGTTCGCGTCTTGGCCGCAAGGGTGCCTCACGCCTTAGGCAATTCCAGCTAAGACCGTGACAAAACGATATACCGCTCGGTATATAGTATCGTACTATACCGAGCGAACATTGAAACTTCGGTACAGTATGATATTTCAATCATTGCATGAGAGGACAATTTGAGCTAACAATCATCATTTCAGATCCACTAGAAACAAGCTGAATGCCTTAACATTAACTGACAGTTTAGTAAGAACTTATCCATGAATGCAATTGTATGACAACAGTTGTTCCCTCTCTGGCTTAACTCGAGGGAACAACTACCACTTCTGCCACCTCCAGGTGGTTGCTACCACTTATGAACAGGTGGAGCTCCAGAATAGATCTGAGGGGGTCTACTTACCATCCAGACCTCATATGGGATGTCCCATCTGAATGACTTCACTGAAACTTTATATTGGAATTATCTGATCTTCAACCAGACTCTATTCTTGTAGACACTAACACAGGCAGAAAGCTGCTGCTGGATGCTTACATGGGAGAAACCACAATGCCCTTCATGCTGAATGTCAAACTATTCTCCAAGGCCTACTAAGAGAAAGAAGGGAAGGCATCCATAACATTTGGATCAATAATGATGCTTTGGAAGTTATCTGATATTCTAGACTTAGCCAAAGTCTAGAATATATCTGATTCTAGAAGTCAATGGTCCCAATGAGTCTCCATGGCATATATCTGATATTCTAGAGTTGGCCAAAGTCATTAATGTTGTGAAGTCTGGTCGTCAGTCATGAGGCCGGCAGTGCAGCCCATCGACTAGCTAATTTAATCGCAGAGAAGAATTTCTTTTTGCAAAGGGGAGAATACTTCACTATTTTTTCTCCCAGACAATGTTCTTAATTTACAGATGACATCTGAATAGATCTTCCTTTTTTTTAAAAGTATTAGAGTCATTGTGTCAAAATTAATAAAGCTTTGAAATAGCATGTGAAAAAAATCTTTAGCACAAATTCATTCAATTTGTAACTTTGCTCTTTGTTTTGGTGTAAAATATATATCTAGGATCTCAAATTTAAACTTGAAAACAATAATTACAGGGTATGACCACTGATGATTTCATAATAATCCAGGTAGTACCAATCTCAAATGAGTAAGAGGAGCTTGATAACCAATAAAACTAAATAAGAGGACTAAGTTATAATTTTTAAAGAAGAAACAGCTAGCATCTGAACAAAATGTATCAGGTTGTGAATTCTGTCACCAAATTGAGAATATTACACTGTGACATAAAGTGAAAACTTCGTCTTACCTAGCATATACAGAACTGACCCTTACAGACCTGATTGGGAATGAAATTGATCAAATAGTCTTGGTTCAATTAAGTACAGTCACCTTGGACACCTGAGGCTTCAACCACAGTTACTAAAATATCTGACTCCAAAAATAAAATTCAACACTCATACACATGATCACGATCAATGTGAGAACAATAATTATCCTCTAATATAGATTATAGATCATACATGATATTCTGCTTACAAAGGGTAATCACCAAGCTGAAGAAAAGTAAACTAAAAGTATATACTCTAATCAGGTACCTCATTTCGTATATTCTAGAAATGGAAAATGTAACTTAAACATGAGTGCTGCTAACCTCAAATTTTTAATTTGTTGCTCAGCAACTTATACAGCCCAACTTCTACCAATGCAATTTGGACATAAATTGTTGTGAATTCAAACCTTGATAAGAAATATAGTTAAAAGGAAATACTTGGAGAAAACAAAACAGCAAAAGTGAACTAAGATGCTAGGCTACAGTCATATCAGAAAGTTTCAGAATAATCAAATTATCAAGAGTTTTGGATCCAAATAATCATTGAACCCTCTATCTTTATGATACATAGCACAATGATAAAAATGTACATAGATCCAAAAGATCAAGTTCAAAATTAATGAGAATATGACCTTCCTGCCAGGGCTTAGACCAATTCAAGGACAAAAGTCATCCCAACAAAGAATAAGAAAAAAAAGAAACACCACTAGTCTTCTCTATTTTTTTTCATATAAATAAAAATGGCAATACCAAGTGTAGATTCAAGGGCTTTCATCAGCTCATATTCATGATTAACCAGTAAGAGACCTTGTCCGAGAAAAGTCCTGTTTCAGGAAATATTGTCACTCAACAGAATCATATCTATGGACACTTTCAGCACTTATAAAAGAAAATTCCCGATGCCTTATGGATCTGCAACCCTATCTGTGTCCATAATGAGGCACTTTAGGATCAAAAGATGAAGTCATTAACATTCTTGGGTATCAAATACTATTTTCAAGATCATATTTATAGAAACTTGAAATTGTAACGTCAAGTTTAGAGGTATTTCAAGTATTGAAGACTACTTGTCATGTCCATAATTGTATTTCATCATTAGATTAAACCCCTCCATCTTTATATCTCAAACAACAAAACATGGTGCTCCCATTAATCCATCTAAAACACTTTATTTCTCCCCTTTAGCCTAAAGAGTATCATAAAATGGTCAAGAGAAAACAGTCAATATCACTAGAAATTGGAGAATCCGGTCAAAATAACCTAAACCTTATATAGTGCTGACATGACACCATCAGTGGTTCAAAGTCTGGCTGCTCCAAAACAATTAAACCAAAAAACAGAAAATGCAGGTGTTCACTCTGGCTTGTCATGGTCTTCACTAAAGCAAACAATGATTTTTAACAATAGTTACAAAGCAATAACATCAAAGTAATAAAACACATGATTCATCCACTTCGTCAACTTCTATTTAAATCAAATACTAATTTCATGAATGTACAAAAGTTTCCCATCGAAACATCTTCTGTCCATCAATCTTTTATTATCGAGAATGTTAATGTAGAAATTTGATCACAAATAGCAGCAATAACCAAAAAAAAGGCAGGCCCTAATATTGAGTAGTATGCAAATTCTAATTAAAAAATGCGGGAAGAACAGTTATTTTAGTTTGTCAGAGTATTTATCTCAAAAAGTTAACTAGAAGTACTTTCAGAAGAAAATAGTAATAATAATAACAGACTTGAGATAGTATTAGTACCTCCAATTTGTGACTCACAACTAGCTCTGTTTGTTGAAGGCTTTCTCTAAAATGCAAACCTCATCCATGCACTTCCAAAGATGTTTGAGATGACCTGTATCAAAGCGTAAGGCTAAAATGCATCATGATGTTTATATAATGTGTGATATTTTGATTAATCATGGTGTCACCTTATTCTTATTGTGATGGATTAATATTTCATAACATAAATATTATACAAACATAGCCGAAACATATGAATGCAAAAAATATGCATAGCCATATGAAGCAATATATAAATGTTTCTGCAGGGATGGTAAAGATCTGGTAGAGAAAATTTCTGCATTTAATCAAGAAATCCTTGAACAATGATCTGCCACGCCAACTGTGCAGCAAACAACTTGAAAACTCAACCTAAAAAAATTTTAGGAAGCTCATTCTAATAAAACCTGTACAGATAATCATTATTTTTTAAATGTGTTCAGAATGTTTTGACTCATTGACATGGAAAGAATCAAGTTCTTAACAGAGTTTAAGTGACCTGGAATTTTAGAGATTAAAAGAGTTAACTAACAACTTTAGCAAACAACAGGAGAAAATCAGCACATGTGATCCTTATGAGAATGAGAAACACATTTCCCAGAATTAGAAAAGTAAAACTGAAGTTTAAAAAATATATATATGAAAATTGCTTGCTGGAAATTTAGTTAAGTTTAACTGGAATGACAACAACCACATTTAATTTCAGATTCGGTCGAAAAGTAGGCATGAGGTTGCAAAAAGCTTTCCAATACATTCAGTACAATGGATAAGAGGGCATTTCTTGCAAAAGCCACCATGAAGTGCAAAACAAATGGAGAATAAAAACTGTGTAATCCAATGCAAAACTGGAAGCTAGTGATGCCTTCAGAACAATTAGTGTCCTCTCTCTTTCTAAAGTACAAAGCTGAAAGACATTCAACCAGGAGATAATGCTATAGAAAGAGAAAAGCTAGTTACACACAGGTACAAGAACGTCCACAATCTCAGAGTGCTTCTTTGAGCTGAAAGATTCTCAGAATTGCTCTAGCTTTGTCATACTCATTCAAGGACACTAACATATTTTTCAAACGGCGAGCAAGCCCACAAGTCTCTTCCTCGCTCACACCAGATGCATGCCTTTTCTCCAACTTGCCCCCTAACTCTGCAATGCAATCAACCAAGGGCTGCAGCTTCTGACTGGGTCGTGAAGTGACCTCAGAACCAGACCAAACCCCTACAAGTGATGCTACGATTCTCTCTGTCCTCATGATGGCATCATGAATATTGGGCATGATGCTTTTGACATGAGGCAGGAGCTTCCCTCCCAAAAGCTCTTCAAGGGCAAGATTCTCTAAAACTGGCATGGAAAGAATATTTTTCCACAGGCAAATATTTCTAAGAAGCCGAACAGATGTACCAAACCTATATGCCACAATTTGTGCAGCGCCTGGCACAACCTTTGTCACAACACTACTCCAAACTGGCAAATTAAGGCTACTGATGGCCTCATTCAAGTGATTGTGGACAACAGTCAACAATTCACGCAAAGGCTTGCTTGAAGCTGGAACATAGCTGATGACCATATTTGTTGCAAAGACTGCATTTTTCGTCCTTTGGGTACTCAATATGTCCCAACAGTGTGCAATTTCATGATGCAAGATAGGAAGCGCTACCTTTTCAACTATTTCTGGAATAAGATTAGCATCTGCATCATTAGGTTCAAAATCTTGACCTTTTCCTGGCAATCCATAATCAAAAAGAAGTCTGTGCCACTCCATGTCAAAAAAGTCTGTTGCATCATAAAGAGGATCCCACTTCAAAAGCTCCAATCTCACATACGGAGAGAACAAAGAGGGTATGCTTAGGGAGACATAAGCATCTCGATAACTAGAAAGGTAATGGCTCTTCCATCTTTCGAACCTTTCCTTCACAGTCGTAAGGTTAGAATACTCTTCCGATGCATCACTGAAAATTTCTTCAGCAGTTTGGAGCAACTCATTTCTGCTAGAAATATATGCATCGCTTTCAGAATCACTCTCATCGGTGCTTAATTCTCCTTCAATCTGCTGGGAAACATTATCCTTACCAATATATGTGATTCTTTTGGATTCAGCCCAAGCTTTCCTCCTTTTCCTGGACTCTGCCCTCCGTGCAAAATCCATGCGCAATTTTAGATTGATATCCCTGCCAAACTCATCCAGTTCAACAGGTAAATCTGCACTTTCTTGAGCAGCAGCATTGGCAGCCTGAGCTGCAGCTGTAGCAGCAGCAATGTAAGCCGATCCAGAGCCTTTATTCAGAACTGCAATCGCTGCATTCACAGCAGCTTCCACTTCATTGGAATCATCAGAAATATCAGCAGCTCTTCTTTCAACAACAGCTAATGCCCTCTTCTCATGGAGCTTCTGCATCTGCTCTTCCAGTTCCTCAATAAAATAAGCCTTGTCATTCAAAAAATCACACATCACCGAAATAAAGTCCCGGAATTGTTGCATAAATACATACTTATCATCAGCAGCTTTCAAAGACTTCTCAAGATTGGTAATTTCAGATAGTGCTTCGGTGATATTTGTATCTGTTTTCACCAATGAATTCATCGTCATTCTGTGTGATTCCTTAAGTTTGCTGATGCTCTCCTGCAGAGCTCGTGTTGCAACCTCAGCCTGCTGAGATATTGACATAACCTCTGCACTACGTGAAACACCAAATGAAGTTGACATGCTGCTCACTGAGGGCTGATGGGTGACGCCAGTGTAGGCAGTTGGCAGTGGCTGGATAGCAGGAATGGTTGGAATGCTGTAATTGACTCTCTGAGTGGAAGCCTCATCAATTCTCCTTCCCAGTCCCTTCCTGAACTGCTCTTCCTCCCATTTTCTCTCCTCCTCATCTTCATCATCATCCACATTGTCATGCACTTTACTGAGTCCACCATCCACAAGCCTCACCTCTGCTGCATTGATCCTCTGCCCAATAGTCTCAAAAACCCCCTTCTTCGACCCATCATCCACCTTATCCCCAAACAAAGCAATCCTCTCTTGAAAATCATTGTCTTCTTCATCACTTGATGCGCCAGCAGAAGGGTGGCTACTTGGCATCCCGCCATCAAGAGAGATGTAATCAGGTGCAGCATGACGTGGTTGCTGAAGCTGCTGCCTCTTTGCCCTGATAGCTTCTATGGTTGCCTGATCAGGTATCACCGGCAACCTCATCCCAGTCAGTGGACCACCATTGTGATCATCTTCTTCCTCCTCTTCTTCTTCCTCATCCTCTTCCTGCCGTTTCGGCACAACATCCTTCTCGCTGTCTCTCCCAGGCACAACAGTGGTCGAGGCTGGTTTCAGGAGGCCTTTAAGAACGATAACAGGTTCAGCAGGGGGATCAGGTTTTTTCGACTTGGGCTCTGCGGCTGCCTGCGGCCGCTGTGGCCGTGACGTGCTGCCCAGGGGCCTGGCGTTCTTCTGGAGCTCAAGGAGCCGCTCCTTTGTATACTCGCCGACCTGCGGTTGAACATTGGAAGGGATGGGAGGAGCCAAATGCGAGGCCTTCGAGCGGTCCTTGGCGGAGGTATGCTTGTGGAAAGTGGCGGAGGAGGAGGCCGGGGTCCGGGCGGGGCGACGGACGGTGGCAGGGCGATCGTCGTTCTCCTCCTCCTCATCGTCGGCGAAGCTAAGCCGCTTCGGGGCTTCCGGTTTGGAGGTCTTGGATTTGGTTTGAATTAGGGTTTGACTCTTAGTGGCGGCCGGACTCGGTGCGGATTTCTCCTCGCCGTTTGCATCATCCGCCTCGGAGCGGCGGCGGAAGTTCTTCACTCTGCTGCTACTCATCGATCCAAGCACCTTCGTTTTCTGCCACGAATCGGACAAACAAATTGCTGTAAGCCTGTTCTCTCCTCCGACGTCAAACGGAACAAGAAAAAGAGGAAAAACAAACTACGAAAACCACAAAAGCTTCCAAGGATATGTAAAAGATCGAAAGGAAACGAAGGAAGAAGAGGAACGAAACCCACCAAGTTCAATTTTGTGCTTCTGATCTATTTCTCCTTCGGTTTTGTTTGAAGGGTTTCAGGCGGAGGCGCTTGATGATGATTAGAGGGACAGGGCGGCATGGGATGTAGGTGTGAGCTCATGCGACGAAGGGGGCGGTTTCCAAATCCAACGGGCAGTGAGGGACGTCGTAGGAGCATTCTGACCGTCCAATTGATGAGCCGAGTCGACCGTGAGTTCTCCGGTTCGATTCGGCCCATGAGGCTCGGTTCACTCAACATCAATCCAACTCGCCCTGGCACAGGAATAAGAGCGTATTTTCTAATACAGCGTATATTTTCCCCTAAATACCTAGATATTACATAAGTGGCTTTACCAATCGTGGTAAACTATAAGGTAAAAAGGTAATAAATTTTTTTAAATACCGATTAATTGACTTCTTATTTTCTGAACTTAATTTTTAAAAATATTAATTATTAATTTAGGAGCGATAATATGTACATAAAAATATATCCGGTATTAATACAAAAAAAAATCACAGGAAAAAGATCTATGTAATTTACTTTAAATAATCAGCACATTATAGCTTGTTATTGTTATTATACTTTTTTAGGGCATTCTTGTCAGAGTTCCATCATCATTATACTGTTTAACCAAAATTATATATTTGAGAGTTTTTTAAGTTTTCATATTTGAAAAATGTTCGAGTTTTACAAAGATATAAATTCTAAACTTAGATCTAAAGAGGTAAGTATGCAGCTCATACTTTTCAGTTTTCATACCATACCTACATTTCAGTAGAACGAGAACATTTTAGAAGTAGTCAAAGTAATATATTTCCTTAAAAGATTATATTATACAGAATTAAAAGACTAATACTGCAAGAACAAGTCCATCCATAAGATACCTTTATAAAGGATAGGCATAATAGGAAGATTGCGGGCTTTACAAGTCGTGCATCAACTTCAAAAGAACAGGTGCAGCTGAAAGGCATAATGAGGTGGTGATATCAAATGATCAACCTTCATGCAGCAAATACCAAGATCAGTTTCATCCTAAAGCCCAGCTGGCATCAAGTGATCTGTTATTAACAACTAGAATCAATCAAGATAGCAATGGAATGATATCTGCTAAACCACAACGTTAATGGAGATCACTCTTCAATAGTATCAGGAAGAAAACCATTCTTTTTTATCCAACTTTAACTTGATCACTGGCTTATACTAATTTGGTGGATGGAGTTCTCCACAAGAGGGTAGAAGATACCAGCGTATGAAAGTATAAAAGGAAATATATATATATATATATATATCATCAAGAACATGATGTCTGAGTTTTCTTAATATCGGAGATCTCCAAAGATGCACCTATTCTTTTTTCAAAGAAAATGTGGGTTAGACGAGATAAGAGGGTCCACACCACAGGAGAGCAAAGTCACCACTTGGAACAATAATACCAAAGCAATCTCAGAAGGCCTTTAGATTTCCTATTCACCGGCAACGAGAATCGGAAGTCCCCTGGAGACGGGAATAATAAACAGTAGTTAGCATGATCACAATTATCAAAACAAGAACAAATCAAAACCACAATGCCAGTGACATCAGAATATGCTGTTTCAAAGTGGCAGATGTAGGCATGAAGCCACATGATCTAAGATCTTCGCCAACTTTAAAGAGGAGAAAATTTGATGATACCTTACCCCAAAACGATGAAAGAAAATGCCATGGTTGACCAAAAAATGAACAAAGCCAAATCTGACACAATTCAGAAATTAAGATCGTTCAATTTTATTATGGCCTGTGGTTCAAACAGTATACTGGGTGCAATTTTAAGTCATATAAGTTCTAGAGATCTAAATGCAACTAATCGTATATTAAAATTTGGAAGAAATGTATGACTACGACCTGTCACTAGTTTTTCAATAAAAAATCTAAGTATGGACTGATAACATAAATATATGAAGCAATAACTTGTACAAAACTTCAGTGATGGACTCAAACATCTACATAACTCATGCTAGCAATAAATCAATAACCTCACGCCAAAAATAGAATAGTAAAACCTTAAATCATTATTTTTTTCATAAATAATAATGCTATAATTTAGTTAGCTTACAAGACCCTCTACAAATGAGAAAAGGAACTGTGTACAAAAATATGTAAAGATCTTTCTTCAAAGACTATCTAAAGTAGCCACCTAGAAAAATATCAAAAGAACAGAATTAGACACGTCCCAACCTGGACCTCCAAAATGGCTCAGATTTGCATTCCATTTCAAGATACTCCAATTCGCTTACGTCAAATATACTTTTACAGTCATTGCATGCAACTCTATCCAATAACCTAGTGAGAAAATCTCTACATGGTACAATCTCTCTACTCCAAGTATCAAATATTCATCTTGTTTCTTCAAATTTGTATCGAGAATTAAGAGATCATAACAACAACAAAATCTAGAATCATGTTTCTGCCTTTATTATTTACCTCACATCCATGATTAGAACTTCCAAAATTTTGATGCTCTCACAAACGTGTAACCTTTTGAATCCACCTGAAGGAGAAGTTCCCCACTAACTAGTATTCCCTAGATGGTTGAGCTTAAACATAAACTTTGGTTTCATGAGATCACCTAGTTCTGCTTGAGAAACATAAAACTAATAGCATTAACAATATCTTTGATTGGTCGGGATTTTAATACTCTGTCACATACCCACAACATTTTCCAGAAAATCCTAACCTAGATTAATGACTATATACTTTTCTGAAAATATTATCTAGGATAACACCAACCTGAACATTATTTTACTTTATTTTCTCATCATATATTAAATCTTTTTAAAGGAAATTGCCAAATTTATGTAGAAACACTAAAAATTTCCAAAACCAAGGCTGTGGCCCCACCTGAAAATGAAACTTCAAACCATGGAATGACTTGCTGCAATAAATACCAGCCATACAAGGTTGTATAAAACAAGACCAAGACAAGAACCACTAGATTTCAGGTTGTGAGAGCTTGATAAGCTAAATATGATCGATATTCTCCCTTATCTCTTCTGCAATGGCAATGCCTTCCTCTCTTTCTCCCCAAGTTTTTACTCTTCTCTGTTCCTTAAGGACAATGATCCCTCTCACTCCAATAACCCTTTCCATAATGTCATCAGCTGACAATCAATGACCTTGCAACAGAAACATTATTTTGTTATTTTTCATTTTTTTTATTTTTTCCAATTGATACCATCAAGTATAATGTAACATTACCCTTTCCATGGTTTTGTTGTTGTTGTATAACATAAAGTATTGTGCCCACAGCAACATATCAAACTAGTCCAAGCAGTGATCACTATAATTGATACCCAAGAAGAATATCATTAAGCTAAACAACACTAATATTACTAGAATACAGCTTTGGAGCTAAGATGGTTCCAAACATTTAGTTCATTTAAGATGATTTGATTTTAACATGCTGGTCAAAGTCCTTTAATGTACCTTGTTCTGGGTTAAGCAGTTACAGTCTATTGTTACATTTCCATCAAAAGAACTTCTACCCAAATAGACTGGTGACCAATTGCAAAGCAATTGTCATCAATCCAGTAAAACCAAATTAGAAAAACTATTAATAAATGTAGTAATTCCAAAGAGAATGAATATCTCAACAAAGATTTGGAACAACTTTATGTTTCATACATCATAAATAGTGAGTTAAAAGACAGGTGAAATAGTAATCTAACCAGCCTCTACTCCTGGAGAAATAGTCGTTATCCAGAGAAACAGCAAGAGCGACAGCCACCGCTCTTTCAGAAAGAGTTAGTGGGCGAGCAACTTCTAACTCTTGAATCTGAAATGCAAAGCATAGGTCACAGACAATCCAACAAAAAGCTATACCTGTTTATAAACAATCATAATTTTCAGTAACCCCTGAAGCAGGCTCAGTTATAGGAAGTGAATTAGAGTCCCCAAATCGAATCACATATTGACCAGCATCGGTGAAGAGCTGCAGAACAATAAAATACAAAAATCAATGTCCCTTGACTTACTCTTTACAAATAGATATATTCATTCACAATATGTTTAAAACTGTGGATTTCCAATACTTGAAGTCTGATGTAATAGAGTCCAAGAATTGTATGCTGTGAACAAAAAAGTAAAATTATCCCACCTTATCTCCTATTCTCCCACTCATCAAAAAAGATATTAAAGATTTGAAAATCCAACAAGTGAAGAAAAAATAAATTATGAAAACAGAAGATCAAGTGAAGATGACTACCTCAAAACCAATACCCCTCCAATCACGATCAATTTGAGCCAGTACATTGTCATCTTCATCCTTTAAAGTAAATGTCCAATTCCAGAAGCCAGGATTTTCAACCACGGCAAATTGTTTGTTTCTAAAATTCCACAATAACAATAACATTTTCAGTCCAGCATTTAGCCAAATATTGAGTTTAAAATTCCCAAAAATTGTTGAACAAGACAACACAATGTCTGCAAACACCAGATGTTTGACAACTTTTACTGGATTCCTACTTAATTTACTGTTTCAGTTTTAATTATTTAGTTTTCCGAAAAGTCCAAAAATGGTTCAGAAAAAATATTTTTTGTGCATCCAGATTTAGACATGCATTGCATGCTTGGGCAGCTACTTCAGTGTATAGTTTGTGATATAAGTTAATTCCAATACCATAACCTAATTTGTATTGATATAGTAAAAAGACCAATCAGGTTTGACCCAATTTCTCAGCCTTATAATTTGACATAGCAAGAGTAGATGAAACTCAACTTGAGTTGGCCAATGTCAGCAGATCATAACTGATTTGACAAAAGAAGCGGCGCAGGAGAGGATGAAGATCAGAGAGGTAAAGATAGAAAATTAACAAAAATAAAATTGCAAATATGAGAGAGGAGATGTTGCGATGTTGAATTTGATAGTTGTTGCAACTGTCACATTTATCGTCTACCACCAGTATTTTACTGTTCAGCAGTATTTGACCACAACTATTGCAATGTTCAATGTTCATTGTCCACCACTGCTTAAGACAGAAAAAGATATAAAGGGAGAAAATAGATAAATAGAGTTAACTTTTACTGTCTCAAGTAAATAAGGATGCCACCACAAAATTTGAAATTGAGGTAACTATTACACTATTAGGACACCTTAAGTCCTCAATGTTTCCATCATACTAAAACATTTCACCTGGACCTGTATTTACAATGGCATACTTTGAGTTAATGATGAGGTGATTCGTTCATTCCAAGGCTAGTTCATGTTAACATGATGTATAATATGATATCCAAGAAACATCACTACTGGAGTTTTCATATAATAATTTGGGCCCATATTTTTGGGCTCACACTGGACAAAGAAGAAAGGAAATACTGATACGAAACTTTATCCATATACATGAAGAACAAGATAAAATTAAAATTACCGCAAGTATAAATCATAGATTCTCCGCCAAAGATGCCAACGTCTATGGACAACACCCACTTCCTAAACAAGGAAAAAAGATTGAGACCATTTAAAAATGTTTAATCATACAAAATGAAGAAAACAGTTTAGAAGCGACATGCCACTAAACATAATTTACTTACCTTACCATCTATTTCTGCATATATTGTGCTATTTATCCACCAAAATGGCCTGCGAACCTAAACATAAATTACATATAGTTTGGATGTGCACTGCAATATACTACATTTTATATAACTTGAAATTTCTAGAAGATTTAATAGTAGTTTCATACTCTAAATATTTCATTGCCCATGGCATCAAATATATAAGCAACAAATGGACGTCTTCCACGGAGTAGCTGCAAGGCACATAAAAAATGACATGATGCTTCAGCAACTATACCAAGATGATGAATGACTTACATTCGATCAGTGTATTGTGAGCATCAGAATCACGTAAAATAATCATCATAAACAACAACAATGTGGAAGTCCATTTACATGAGTTTAGACAAAGTTTAAGAATACCAAGCATAGAAACATGCAGAAAACTATAACTATTCAAGGAAATTGAGGATTATAGATTTCAGAGATGCCCATTATGACAACAGCTTTAGCAACTGACAAATACAAAAAAAGACAAAGATAACCTCAAACAGCATTAGTGCATAAAAGTATATTCAATCAAATTAAGCATACTAAAACTATGAAACAATGATTTGTTTGGTAATGAAAAATACAAGTCAGAGATATGCTGCAAATTATTTTAAAATGATGAAGGATAACAGGACTTATATATCATTTGCTTATAGCACATAACAGATTCAAATACCAATCTGATACTGATACTTATTAGCAGTCACAACAGTCCAAAAAAGGAATACCAATGGAAAAAATCATACTAAACTTCTCAAAAGGATGCTTAGTTTGGTAATAGAAAATGTAGATCATGTGTATACTGCAAACCATTTTAAGGTGACCAATGATAACCAGATTTATCATATAATTATAGTATACACCATTGATTCTCAGTAATAAATTGAGATTTTAATCTTTGATCAAGTAACCAATATGTATAAGTAAGAGACAATCATAGTGGTTGGACAATGGAGAAGAGGGTAGGCATGATACTGATGAAAGATGGAAAGGGCATTTTGAAAAAGGGAGTGCCTGGTAAAAACTTGGCACTATCTCTATTTCTGGAACACATGGCTTCAATCAAAAAGGCAATTTGTCGTTCGTGAATCCAGAATCAGATGTGTGAAAGTTCTCTAATTTTGAAACATTTACCACTTTATATAGTAATCAATGACTACACTGATCCTCACACTTAATATGTCTCCTACAAGGGATAGGCTAGAGGAAACATATAGTAGAAAGGCCACTAGGACTCATAAATGTAACTAATCATCAAACCTACAACCAAAAGATATAGAGATGTTGTGCTCAACATCTAAGGTGGGTTCACTTGTGTAATTGAAAATGAAATTGCAATGCCACTCCTTTGCTCCACCATGCTCCCCCTTATCTTTTTCACCCATGTCAAATAAGATTTTTCAGCCTCTGGCAATTCCTAGCCTTAGACAAGATATTTTAAATTCTTTAACGAAGCACCTGTGAAGCACTGAATACGTTGGTATTCAAACCACGCATAGACATCATACATGAATTTTAAATAACCACCATGAATTTTGAGCATAACTAGTTCAAAACACCCTCCAACAGAATTGTACAAGCATCTATATTTTGCATCACAACAAATAGGTTAGAACATAAACTACATTATTGTTATCTGAAAAGATTAAATAGAATGGCTCGTCATAATCCAATTATGCCTATTAAGTGAGTCTAGACAAAGAAGTGTGTGCCACAAGAAATTGATGTAAATATTTTTAATTAAAAGTAAATAAAAAAGGACGTACCTAGTGCATGCAAGGAAGGTCAATGTTCGCCAAGACACTTTAATTAGAAGCAAATAGCATTTTTAAATTTGAACACCAAGACAAAATTACACTTATAGTAGATTGGTCACAAAAATTAGCAATGTTATTTTGATATTTTAAAAAAAAAAGGAAACAATGCAATCTAGTATTGATATTATGCATTACCACTTTAATTGCAAGAGTTGCGACAATGGCAACTATAGAGTGAAGAACCAAACAAACCAATTGCACAAATTTTGGAAAAAGATATGATAGATGGACATTCTCATACTTATGATGCAATCTAACACTCTATATCCTCATTACAAAAGCTGAAAACTTGATAAATAGAGTAGTCATATGACCATACAGAGTCATAGATTTCACTAATTTTCAACTGAAGATGGTGGCAAGTGAACTTAGTTTAGGTATTATCAGTGGTTCCTATTTAAAAGATCATGTATCAGACAGATAATAATAACAAAAAGCTTTGCACTTGAAGAGAAAAACAAGGTACATGGAACACAAAGCAAACGAAGGCTTTCTTCTATTTCTTCCACCCACTCGTAACAACTAAATATATAAAATTATACTAAAATCTAAAAATGTTAAATGAACTTATAAACAACTATAAAATATATGACAAAAATTTACATGATTTATATGAGAATTCCAATACAAAAACAAGGAATGATTACTCTTTGTTTGTATACAAAAGATGATGTGGCACAGTGAGTTAAGGTCTAAAAATCAAATAAATTGTAAATCTTATCTACTAAAATAAAACCACTTCAATTACACAAGAATTAAAATATGTTAGTGAAAACAACAGTTCGGAGATCGCGCACCTGCCTAAAGATAACATTACTACTCTCCCGAATGAAACCCACAGGCTGAAGGAGAAAAACAATTCATTAATGATACTTTTGAGGCCAAACAGGAACAACCCACAAAATTTAGTTTAGATGGAGCCTGACAAATAACTTTAGTTACATACTAATTGGGGATAACAAACATCCACTATCACATAGCGGTTCTCCTGCAAAACAACAAGACAAATAAATATGTATAAGTTCTGAAGAAATAACAATTGTTGAGCTGTGATCATGTGCCTAAAATCATTGGGCTTACAAAAAATTTCTGTTCATGCCAAACAAAATATTTCATTTTGATCCATTGCAGAGAACCACAAAAAAAGAGAAGTCTCAGGTTTAGAGCAGCAGCAGGTGGTATCAGTGCATTAGCAGTTATATAAAAGTTATAACATTTTGTCTGCTGAAAAAAAAAATTTCAGATCAAAAAGGCAGAAGAGATTTTATATTCATTCTTGTTATAAAATCCACTCTCATTTATACTCTTACATTTTAATTAAAAGAAATGATACAAGATTTAGTAAATGAGGGTAATATAATAATTCAATTTCCTACTCTCTCCCTCTCTCTTGTTTAAAGGTAAGGGGGAATATTTGTAGTATTTTAAGTGCTGAAAAAGATGAAGTTCAGATTAAAAAGAAGAGTTCCAATGTAATGGATGCATATGTTACAGTCTTTGTACATTTTGTTAGTTTTATTTCAAGTAATAAGCTTTCTACACAACATCTTCATATGTATTTCCACATCACTTACCAAGATTGTCCAAAAGGAAAAAAAATGAAATATGACTTGGGAAGATGTGCTTGATCAACAATGTTATCCAAGTAAAGGAACCAATCCTACCCAACGATCTTTCGGATAAGAAAAAAAATATACCATGAAGCAAGAATAGAATGTGAACAGTTCTCCAAACATGGCCAATGGGCTGTCATTTGATTACATTTTGATCTTATAAATTAGAGATTCATTGTCTAGCTTTCCTTTTTCCTTGTATTTGGTGAAAGGCAAGAAGGGTTGTAATCAAGAATGTGACTGAATAAAAATCTGACTTTTCCCACATTTTGCATCAGTAGTGTGGCCATCTTTTTCTCATTTGTGTGATTCCATCACATGTACATGTGAATCTGGTGCAAGACAAAAACCCATAAGTTTGATCCTTAGGAACTAGAGTGAATCAGATATTATCTTCTCCCTCTTTTCTCTTTTAAGATTATCAAATCCATAAATAAAATAAATATTTTCTTTGTTCTTCTAGTCCTCCATCCTCTTGATCTACATCATATACCTTATTAACCATGCATTTTTTATGCATATTATTTTTGATACATAATTAACAGAAAATTTGCAGTAGCATCCAGGTTCCCTCATGTTCAAACATAGTTAACATCTCCATCTTTAAACAAGAAAGCAATCAAGTGGATACCTTCTAGGCTTAATTGATTTTAAGGGAGGACCTGAGTTTCAAATGATATGTTGCAGTGAAAAAGGCTGTAAGCTTGAGAGGTCTCTGGTAATGATAACTAGTCTTTCCAGAGATAATATCAAGAGTATATAGCACTGATTATTTGCATAAACTGTCATATGAACATCTAATTGATTCACAAGCATGAAGAGAATCAGCAGAAATAACACAGCCTTATAAAATATGCAAAACTTACTATAATTATTGCGACATATATACACTACATTATCATTTCCATGCTTAACAGCATCATTAATTATGAAAGAAAACAGTTACCTGTTCAAAAGCAAACATAATATTTGCCCACTCTATGTCTCTGGTAATAAGCAAATTGGCTCTGGAAAGAAGAGGAGCAAGTCTGACCTAGAAAGATGGAAGCCCAAGGAACAAATCATTATCAAGAGCCAGGTCATGCAAATCCAGCCTGAAAATATCACATACAACACACCAAAGAAACAAAGAAAAGGAAACAAAAAAGTTCTAGATCTTATGCAAAGAATGGTTGGAAGACAAAACATTACATGCTCAACAAAAACCAAAGCCATTCCTATCAATTTGAATCTAGGTGGATCTCATATGCCACCGGTAGCATGTAAAAAAGATGATGATCAACCAGATGTCCCAGTGAGATAACCAGAACCTAAAGCATAGTGCAAATACTCCTGACTCCTGATTGGCAATGTATGCTTAACATGTACTCTAAAGTTACAATTACAAGCACTACCCAAGTTATAAGACAGAACTTTCAGATCTTGCAAGTGCTGTCCTAATGAAAGGTACTTTGATTTTGTCAATTAGTTCAGAAACCTCCAACCTAACAAAGCTGGTTTACAAAATCTTTTCAAAGGTATCATTTCTTATGGATCAGAAATCCGTTCAGTGGCAACTAACTAACTTTTTGCTTGACTCAGCCTACTCATTCAACCAAGACCTAGATGTAATATCTTAATTACGTAAGACTAACAAGGACATGTGATATGCCTAGATGACCAATAACATAAATTTTCCCTACAAGAAACTATGAGGCAAGTAGTGCATACAATGTTATCTTAAACTATATAAAACAATGAAGAAAATATCATCAAAAAATACCCCATTTGAAAAAAAAAATTGGTTTGTACTATGCATTATGCATACTCTGTTGTGCTTAGAACATGCATGCTTCAAAGAAGAACTTAATAATAAAAAAAAAATCTGTGAACTGCCAGATGTGAGATGAAACAACATCACGAACCAAATCGGAGAACTCAGCAAGATAAAAAGAATAAATTGTGCACAAGAACTCACCTCTTCAGGAGAACCAGGGGGCAAGAGATCACCATCATATTGACTGATCGGCGGTTGTTGCATGGTTTCCTTGATACCAGAATCTTGTTCAGCCAGAACTGGTTTTCTTAAGACTGACTTCAGAAATGGAAGCTGAGAAGAAAAGGTGTCAAATAAAGTACCCCTATCTTGAACGCGTGGAGCAGGCTGCCTCTTTCTAATTCCCCTTCTTCTTACTTCCATGTTTCGTTTCTCTTCAACCCAAAGTCGTGCTAACCAATCCCTGCTTAGAGTTCGTTTTTTGCCAGCAGAATCTGAAAACCCTCGACAGCCAATTAGGCGACCATGCAGCACAGTTTGTGGTCTTTTAATGTCGACCTGTGAGTTGGATGCATTCCCCAGCACATTTGCACTTCCTGAGCCAAACTGCTGTAAGAGTGCAGTAACACTGTATCTTGTGTGATGCAGCTTCCCGTTCATTATTTCCTGACGAGCCCGGTCGGTTAACGAGCCAAAAGGAGCGATCCCACCGGTAAACTTGATGGGAGATGCAAGCCATTTCTTCAACCACCTCATCTGAGCTTTTGAGATTAATGCGGATGTTTCAGGAGCCTTCAAATGAACCAACAATTACGCCAGTTATTCAAAAGCCATCAGTTTGTCGAATGTATTCATTCAGGAACGAGGCATAATCGACAACAAACCGAAGGGAGAGCCGAGAAAAGAACATCGGATCAATGTTTTGAGCCAATTTCGATCTAGGACAGCGAGCGCGGCGACGAAAGGTTTCGGCAGGCGGCCGGGAGAGGGGGAAGAGGGGCAAGCAGGGAAAATAAAGAAGAGGAGAAGAAAGAGGGGGAGGAGGAGGAGGAGGAGGAGCAGGAGATTCACCTTCCACCGTCGACAGATGCTGCCAGTGCCGCCTGTAGCCTCTGGTCGCCGATGGGAGAGACGAGGGGGACCGACGGTGGACTCCGCCAGAAGGAGGGTTCGAGTGTAATTGGCGACTTTGGTGGAGGAGCTTTTGAAGCCGGGCGTCTAATAGAGCTAATGTCATTGCACTCAGTTACTTTCGATCGCTATATTTTTAAAAATTATATTGATTTAATATTTAATCTTATTTTTCGTTGATTTTGTTAATTAAAATACCACACATGCCACGCAGAAAATAATACTAAAACAGAATTAAAATGATAATTTCATAATATTATTCTCATCGAGATTTTTTTTTTATATCTTTATCGAAAACAGTAGTCAAGAAATCAGCACTTTTTTTTCTTTCCATTTTTCAATAAAACTTCTAAAGACAAAAAAAAGAGACAAAATAATTGAATAGTATTCCCAACAAAATCTCTCTCTTTTTCTATTGATAAAAATAATATTATAAAATTATATTTTCTAATATTATTTTTCATAACAATACATACAATATTTTCATCAATAAAATCGAAAACTAATTAGTTAGTCCCGTCTCCCATATATTATTAATAGTATTACTTGATGCAATGCAACCAATGTTTTCACCTAAATCGTTCATTTAATCACGCAAAGCATGATGTGCTGCTGCATCAATTTTTGCCCAGTCCCTCCCTTTTTCTTGACTTCTAAAAATATGATGGATCAAAATATAAACCACAGTAGTTCCAATCTAATTTTATATCCGTCAAAATTATCTTGTAGCCTTGTTAGTTGTAAAAATTATTTTATATTGACTTGAGTAACTTCTTTAGTTAATTTAATCAATTCTCAAACTTGGGTGTTACATCTAAATGTCATGTTATTTTCATCACACTAACTCGTTTCAATATACACATCCACAATTGAAGATTTTGTCTCTTATGCATTGTTGAAAGTCTTAATTAATTACATTGTATGGAAATTTTGTACTCATTTTTTGTGGAATCACTAATATAATTATGTTCATTATGAGGTGGCTTTATGTTTTCTAGTTTGATCCTTAATTAATTCAGAAATAGTATTCATTTTTTATAGTAACGCCACAACCTCTTTACCATGACTCAAATCTTCTAAGAATCCATTCATACCCACTTCAACAATTCTAACCACATCAACCACAGCCCAGCCAGGATGCTGTTTATCTTTCTCTATGCTTCAAGGGTTTTGGTAATTTACATGTTGGGTTCCATGTCTCTAATACGAGATAAGAAAACTCTCATCTTTCTTCAATATCTATATTGAGAAACTAATAGGAGCAAGCCAGACAAGTTCCATAAAAGTGATGAGCATGTGGCAACAGTGAAACTGGAACCACGAGAACAGAGTTCAGAAATGAACAAAGAGAAAAACCTTCAGAACTATTATACATACACAAATATCTTGCACATCCCCTCAGGTCTAAAAACCCTGTCAAATCATACAAGAGAATAAGATAGCATCAGATCATACAGGCTTCTCGGCTGGGAGATGAGAAGGGGAGCCACCATCAACTTGGTTCTTCTTCCTATGAAATATGCCGCTCAAGTTTGGGAGAAGTGCCTTTTTTGAAACCGTTGGTCTAACAACCTTTCGGTTCTCTTCCGTCTTCTCTACACCCTTTGCACTATGAACCATCGGTTTTGGTGGTAGTGCTTCTGCCAACATCTGTGTCTCGGCCAGTATCCTTGAGGCAGTCTTGGCAGCCATCTTCTGTTCCTTTTCTCGCCACCTCCTCAGCTCTCCTTCAACAGCTTTCTTTGCAGCCTCAGCCATCTCTGCCCTCTTCAGTGCCTCCTCTGTCGCTGTCTCTATGTCCTCCATCTCCTTCCGAGCAGCATCAAGTTTCTTGACTGCCTCATTCTCACTGGCCCTTACAGCGTCCACCTGGGCGATCGCAGCAGCAACCTTCATCTCCGCCAGCTTCCCAGACTCCTCTACCTTTCGGGTCAATGACTCATACTCTTCTTTTGAAATTGTTATGTTCGCCCCAGACTCAGAAGTTGATGCACGAGCAACATTTGCTTTCTCAGAAAGTTCCTTGATAAGATCAAGGACTCTTGCCTCTGCTGCTTTTGCTTCTTCAGCATCCTTCAAAGCAACCTGCAGCTTCTTTTCTGCTTCATGTAAGGTGGTTTGGGCTGCCTCCGAATCAGCTCTTAGTTCTTCAGCACTTTTCTTCATTTCTTCTGCTTCCTGCAATGCATTCTGGGATTCAGATGATAGCTGCTGAAGGGTTGATACTAGATCATCAGATGCTGAAGTCGCTTTGGATTCTGCAACCATGGCTGCCTCAAGCTCAGCTTTGCATTTCTGAAGTTTAAGGTGAAGGTTACCAACAACAGATTCAGTTTCTGCATCCTTCTCTTTGAGCTCTTCATGCTCTTTCTTTAGACCTTCCAACTCAAGCTTCAGGGATTCCACCAAACTTCTGAGTGAACTCTCTTCTTCAGCAAGTTTTTGCAGCATTTCTTTAGCACCATCGAGCTCACAAGTCACTGTAGTAACAAACTCCAGATCTGAGGTCCTGGTATCTTCCATTTCCTTCTGCACAGCTCCAATTTCAGCAGTTGTCTCTGCCAGTTTTGCCTCAAGCATATAATGAACTTCAGGATCAAACTCTTTCTTCAGAGATGCCAATTTCTTTTCAGTTTCTTCTAGAGCTTGTTTGTAGGACAGTTTGGCAGTATCTTTGTCAATGTGAATCTTTGACTCCTCTTGTCGGGCTTGATCAGCGGCAAGCTTCACATGCATAAGTGATTCCTGAGCAGCTGATATCTCCTTAGAAAGCTGAGCAACTTTCTCAGTGTTTGCATCAAATAGCCGCTTTGATTCAGCTTCTTGCTGAATGGCAGTGAGTTTTCCCTCCATCGAAGTCTCAAAATCCTTCTTGATTCTCCTAAGTTCCTGTTTTGCTGCATCAATCTCCGTGATGGCAGCTGCATACTGCTCCCTTGCATTGTCAAATTCCTGCTCCCAGCCAGCATCCTTACGAGTAGTACTCTCAACAGAGCTCACATCTTCAAGTTTCTTAGTTTGACTATCTGCAGCTTCAGTAGCTTTTAAAGCCTGCTCCTTCGACTCATTTAGAGTACTGAGTTTGTTAGTCAGTTCCTCAACAGTTCTTTTAACCCTCTCTAATTCAGCAAGTGCCTGGATCCTAGTTATATCAGCATTATTAAGCTGTTCCTTGTACTTGTTAAACTCTTTTTTGGCCAAGTGAAGCTGTGTCTCCTTGGGTAAAGCCCTCTATTAAAAGATAGAGAATGTTGGAGCATAATTTTTGCAATTCAATTGATTGATCAAATTGCAGAAAGCAGTCTATCACTAACCTATATAAAACCAACAACAAGAGCAGAAAAAGTTTGTCCTAGGTTGAACACAAAGAACATAGTCCAAGAGAGAATTTGACTACTCTTTGGATTATGACTCAATTATGAATGCCAATTAGACAATTCCCAGAATCCAAAAACCATTTGCTTTTTAAATGCACGAGAATGATGATGTATTATTCTTCTTGAGCAATCTTGAATCACAGTTTGAGATGAATCACAGTGAACAATGTGCTTTTCTCTAAGACCTACCAGTTTTGAAATAAAAGCCAAAAGCTACTATGCTAAAAATTTGGCAGGACTAATACATGATAAAATATCAGCATCTATATCATGCCTGCTACAAATAGCGTCAGATTTTCCATTCATATTCTACAAGATTCCAAAGAACAAAAAAGAAAAAAGTTATTATTTCCATAGATGATCATCTACTTTAAATGAAAAAATAGAAATTCAAAGCCAAATATCATTCCTTATATTCTCTTAGGCAGCTGAAACAGAATTTGGTAAAGATAAGTAATCAAACATCAATAAAGATGGTATCCAGTCACAATGGCTATGTATCATGGTGAATACAGTTATGCTTTGGAATTTTGCTATAATTGCTAGACCTTTAAAGCACTCAAGAAGTAATGCAAATGAAGGGATGATGAAAACTCGAAATAACCACCAGAGTTCGAAGTTTTGCATTTTCTTTTCATCCTAATTAAATATCTTTGATATGCTTTGCTTGATTAGCTCCAAATTACTTCACAAGAAAGGGGTATCTTATAGACTTTTTCACAAAAGAAATATATTAATATAAAAAACAGATAGCAATGTCGTTTGTGATGGAGTTAATTTAAATCTAAATTTAAAGAGAAAAAAATGTAACATAAACCTCAATGAGTGGAGGCTTTGGCTTTCTCGCAGTAGATCTGTCAGATGCAAATGCTACCTCACCAAAGAGGCTGACAGCAGCTTTGACAGATTCAAAAGGTGCCCTTGTGTCTATTTCTGCTTTAGGTGAATCTATAGAATTTTGTTGGACTTTTGTCCCCATGCTGCTTTTTCTAACCTGTGTCAGCCTGCACAACCAATAGCAAAAGAGTTTTCATTCTGGACTGATAAAAGTCTCAAGAATTTTATTAACTTCAGTTTCTAAGTGACGTAAGCAATTACAGAAAATTAAAATAATTAATATGCATAGATCTGAAAAGAAAAAAATTGTCTGAGAAGCTTGAGCATGTTCAATGATTCACGTCTATGCTACTAACACTACGTTCACACCACAAAATGTCGAGTTTAGAAACTCAAGAGAGCATCATAGTATTTGAACTGATGGGTTACATGAGGGTCAATAATAATTACTTCAGTGATAGGATTAAAGCAGATTGGTACAAGTCTCTAAGAAATGATATCAATGGAAAAAACATATTAGAACAGTGACCAAAGGCTAGCCATCAAAATGTCAGACATCGTTGATCAACCTCGGGCAGAACTCATTTGTTAGAGATATGAATAATCAAATGAGCAAATGTTGCTCCATCCAGGCCTTTCTGAGTATCTCGATGACTAAATCTCAAACTATAGGAACATTCAACCCTAGATTGGCATAGTAGATCTTGCCCTATTACCAAGGGACAACTACTCAAAAGATCCTTCAGTTCATGGAAGTCTTAGACCTTCACATCCTAAAGTACTAAAGCTAAATAAAGATAATAAACTCGGTTCCATTGTACTAAACAAAACAAGTTTCGCCGCAATTCTTTAACTTTCAGTTAATTATCTAT